TACTACGATAATATGTCGCTACCAATTTATTTTTCTAAAATATGGACGAGAAGAAAATGAAGCATTAGGGAAGGGTAATTATTATTTTATTTCTCAATATTTAAAACGATAATTATTTCTTTAATTTATTTAGATATGAATATATACCGCGTTTAAAATTTTTCACCGATTTAAGCATTATTTGCCTATAATTATCGGGAGTAATATACGATTACCGGATCGAATAATACAAGTAAAGGAAAACCGATGATATATCGACCGTTAATTAATAATTTATTTCGCGGGATTTATTATGTATCTCGCATGCAATATCGTGAATTTCGATTATATATATTTCGGGACGGTACATTGCCTCTCAACTAGCCATTAACTCGACTCGCGTAATATCGCGCGATATCAAAGTGAAGTCGCCAATGCCATTTACGGTCATTAACAAAACGTTTGCGTTTACGAGGCTGATCGAACAGCGTCGCGATATGTTCAATTATAATAAGTACATTAATCCTGCATTTTAATATTTTTTTTCCTGCGTTATTAATCCTACATTTTAATATTTATCAATCGCGCATAATAAATTTGGCGTTTCTATAATCCATCGTTGCAATTTGTCAAAACGCATATCCCGCAAAATTTATTCAAAATTAGTCGTGCAAACAGTCGACAAACTTAACTATATCTTTGAATATTGCACAATCCTTGAATATTTATGTTTAATTCGTATTCCAAACTTTATAATACCAGGTGAGTAATTGTAAAACGAAAGTGTATATTATCTGTTAAATGTCACCGCAGCAAGTGACGCGTGAATTTGAATAGCAAAATTTTCGAGCGCCATAATTTTCACGTTGTTCTCTCATCAATGAAATAAAGTGCGTGTCGCGCACGATGATTATACATTGGAAGCGCCCTGTAAAGTGTCACGCGATCGTCGTATTCCACCAATTAGTGCGCCCGTGATCGTAATTAACCGTGTTTTCGTGAGTGTCATGCAAAAGTGTCATAAAAGGGCAGCAAAGGAGAAGCAAGAGGGGAAAGAGAGGCATTGGGCGACAGCGAGGAGTAACTGTGAGATGAGTAATTTACAATTTATTTAATTTATTTTATTTGTTATTTTTTAAATTAAACGTCTCTTTCCACAGTAAGTGATCAATTTTATATTAATGCATAAATATAGTGTGTGTGTATATATAAATATAAAATATTCTCCGTGTATCTCTTACATATTTTCTAATTTATATAAAAAAAAAATCTGTCTTCTTTAAAAGTATCTTTCCAATTAACTTTATTTATTGTTAAATTCTCTTGCTCGCATCACAAAAAAAGAAGAGATAGAACTTACATTAAAGATATCGCTCACAACAGAGGTATAATCTGGAATCGAACGTTAGTTATTTTAGCGAGTTCAAACGCTCCAAGTTTTTCCAATTAATCTCAGTCCAGTCAGAAGGAAAGCGTTTGTGTTTTATTAACGACAAATAAACCGACGTTTTGATCCAAGGGTCTCTGATCGCAGTTCGAAATAATTGAAATTTAAGACGCGAAACGAGCGTACGAGCGGTGACTCTTCCTCGTCGTTGCCTCGACTCGATTCGATCCAATTAAGCGCGGCCCCGAGGGTCCCACGGAGTGCTGTCGGGAACTTCGATTCTCTTTTCGCCCTACTCTCTTCCCTCCTCTTTCTTTCCTTCTTCAGTCACTCCTGTCTTCCTGGAGACCTTTACTGTGTTAAAGAGGCGACATTCGAGTGCGAGCAAAAACTGGTCGAGACAACGAAACACGCTCCCATCTTTCCTGCGCGCGATATTCGTTACCTTAATTACATTCGGAACGTAAACCGCGTAATCAAAAAGGACGGCTTTACCTGCTCGCGAAGAACATTTTTCGACACGAAAAACGAAGTTTCGCGAAGCGACGCCTGATAAATTCGGTCTCGTACCTTTGTAAGATTTCACGTCGTTATATTTCTTATCATCGAAGATACTTCATTATGCGTTTGACACTCTACAAAATGTTTTTCATCGACCGTGTTTATTACGATAGAATAAATTTTATTAACAATCGATATAATTTTTATAATTTATGACACAATCAAATTATTTTGTCCAATTTTATTTTAATTTTTTATTTCTATTTTTTTGATAAAATTAGTCATTAATATTTTTCGAAATATACATTCGTCTTGTTTGACATTTGCTCGTAAAAAAGTGATACGATTAATCGCGAGATTAATCATCGTATAGTTAAGGATCTCGGTATTAATATGAGCAATAAAGATGAGTCATCATCAATGTTTCCAAGATTCTCTTCCGCCTTATTCTTGTTTCAATCTTGAGGTCGACATTTAGTTTTCGAAGGAACAAACGGGCAAACGCGAACTACAAGTAACGTCACCTCCATTAATCTTCCTCCTGCTCGGATTAGATTTAACCTAAGGGATTCTCACGATCTTGTCTCGACCGAAATTACGATCGCGACCTCTTCGTGACTCTGCATCATGAAAGCTGATTCATCTCGAAGGGGAACAATCCGGAATAATTGAAAATAGAACACATAAAATATTTAATAAATCAAATAATTTATGTACCAACTCTATGGAATCTATTATTACATTAAATCTATATTGAAATAGTACTTGTTGGTAACAGCAACCAAGATTGTATAATGATTAATTAATTACGTAATACTTCTTTTTCCTTTCTCTCGAGGCGAAACGTGATTATGCGTTTGCGCCAATTGCAGAGCAATGCTATTGACGCGCATGTTTCGAGCCGCGAGCTTGAAGATAGGCAACGAACAATAATCCGACAAAGAATAATGGATAGCAATGAGGTATTGTCCCGTGTCGCTTTCAACGAGTCCAATTAAAGCGCGTCCTTCCGTCGGCTTAAAGTCAGAGACGCGGTGGAGTTTTTTCACCGGCAACGAGTGGGATGGAGAATTGTGTAACCCTAGGTTTCAATAATAAAAGTCTCGTTACGTTTTGCGTTTACGCTCGCTATAAATTATCACGTTTCCCGTCCGAATGTTTTTTTTTGTCCGATAGCGATTGCGCGTCGCGGAATAATTAAAGCATAACGAATTGACAATGTGGTAAAATTCGTATTGATTTTCCCGCGACCTTTTCTGTTCCCAACAATATATCATATTTACCGATATTATATTAGGTCTACCGGAAAGTTCTGTCCGTTTTTGGAATAAAACAAAATACAAATTTTTATTACCGTCAATAAACTTTATTAAATAATGTAATTGCCATTATTATTAATGATTTCTTGCCAGCGTGAGGGCAATTTGTATATCCCATTTTCGAAAAATGTTTTATCTTTTGATGCGAAAAATTGAACCAGTGCTTGTTTGATATCTTCTTCATTTTTTAATTTTTTGCCCCTCAAAAAATTTTGTAAGGACAAAAACAAGTGATAGTCGGTGGGTGCTAAGTCCGGGGAATATGGTGGATGCGACAGAATTTTCCAGCCTAGTTCTGCAATTTTTTGACGAGTATCCAAAGCAGCATGTGGCCTGGCATTATCATGATGCAGTATGATGTTCTTCCTATTGTACATCGCCGGCCTCTTTTCTTGGACTGCTGTATTTAAATTATCCAGTTGCTGACAATACTTCTCCGAATAATGGCAATTACATTATTTAATAAAGTTTATTGACGGTAATAAAAATTTGTATTTTGTTTTATTCCAAAAACGGACAGAACTTTCCGGTAGACCTGATATATATAAATAAAACATATCTAATTATTAATCATAAAAATTTAATTTTTCGTTGAGTCGTATATAAAAAAAAATAGAATCTAAGAGAAATCTTCAGTTGTTATCAGATCGCGTTCCATTTTCGTCGTCGTATCCAGCTTTTTTCCGGCTTCGGAAATAGGATCGCAGAATAGATTGTCGCGAGAGAGCAATTAAATCTTTGTAGCGGCAACAGCGTTACGACGTACAGCGTAACGCATTCTATTTACGAAGGCGGGGAGAAATTACTTTTTTTTTTCCAGTCGCGCGTAGTTTTTCCGTCCGTCCGGCCAGCCGTCACTTTCGCGCCCGTAGAAGCAAAATGGATATCGACAGCGTGGCGCGATGAAATCATCTATTGTCACCGTATGTTACGTACCTTTTGTCATTTGATGGGCATTTCCATTGCGCATGGTGACAAAACCATTTTGCAGTCGCGCCCCTCGCGTAGTCGGCGCGACCGTTTGTAACCGCGACGGTTACAATGGATGACACCTCCGCCGCCAAATATCCTTAATAACCGGAGCTTGGATATTAACGACGTGTCACCTTTTTTTCGACGAACATCGTGGACAACGTTCTGATGCGCGCATTGTCGGCTTGAAAGAACGTCGGAGGCGAAAGGAGCTCGGAAAAATTATTACGTCCCTTAGTTTTTCATGCGAAACATCCGTACAAAAGAGGCAATTCAAAAATAATTATATTTTTTTAACACATCTGTTAACATCTCGCATGTTGAGAGACGTCTAAAATATTATACGTAATGAAAAAAGTTTTTTCCTTTAAAAATCGATGATGAAAATTTCCCTCGTGCTATCTTGATCGCAAAAAAAATGTACATTTTATAGATAAATCTTTGCCATTTTATTTTTTAAACTACTTTTTCATGACATGCGTCAACTTTAATTTATTTTTAGGCGACTATTATCTGAAAATATATATAAAGAAAAAATTATATAGTCAAATAAGCGGAATTATTAATTACCAAAGCTATTACAATTACGACTCAAAATAAATTACAAAATTTGTACATCATTTAATTTATGACATTTAATTTAATTTATGACACGAAAATATATTTCTAGACACAAAAAATCGATTCATTGAACACGTTTTCTCTAAAGATAAGAAACATCTTCTCTTCGTCCATTCAATCTCGATAACTAATTTTGAAGAATAGCGGTTAGCATGTTTTACATTTCTTCGCGAAATATCGTCGCCTCACCGTAAGGAAAATAATTTCACGTTTGTCAACAGAGCGAGAAGAACCAATATGTCGAGGATGGAGTGTTCGAATGCCTGCCGTGCGCCGAAGGATGCGAATCCTGCGAGGACGGCTCGCCTTGCGTCGTATCCCTGAACTGGTTGATGCGAACGGCGATACTTATCCTGGAGTGCTGCATCATCGCTTGTCTGCCAGTCGTCGTTCTTTTCACATGGAAATACGGGCACGTGAAGGTAAGAGCCGTAACTCTTTACAACGGAGTTTGCCAAACTATGGGTGACATCCTATCCGTTCCGTGAAAAATAGTGCAGAAACGTTTCACATTGTTTTTTCAAAGATATAACGTCCTATACAAACAATGTTCATTCTTTTAATTATATATTATGTTTCTCGATAAACAATCTAAAAAAAGAAGTTCGCGTATCAATATTAGAGCGCTCTTTCAATCTTTTCCGCCAGAAGCAATATAATATATTTTTAATAGTTTAAAGCAAATACTGCTTCTTAATGAATAGCCTTGTTAATTAAGAAGCAGTATTTACTTTAAAGATAAAGAAAGAGTAGTGATAAAAAATTTCAACTCGCGTTTCTTTAAAAATTTTATCATTTTGGAAAAAAAAAAAATATTTTCTGCTTGCGTGGAAAGATATTGAAGTCTAATCTTTGTACTTTGAAAGTTTAAATAAAGTTTAGGTAAATCATTAGAATAAAATCATGACAAATATATGAAATATATGAATTCGAAATATCCTATATATTCGAATCGATTCGTTCGAAAACAACACGAGTCCATAAATTTCCAAAATCGTGATAGGATCTATTCTAGACAAGCATATAAATTTCTAGTCCAAACAGAAACAACAAAAGCCCATAATATCCATAATGAAATATCTCTGGCACGGATGCCATTTCGTCCGAAATCCATGATTTAGTGAAAGCCATGTAAGACCGTAATTGGATATTCGATATCGTTCTATTCAAGTTGACATTTCGAAGATGTTACGTAGAAACGAGATGATAAATCTAATAAAATTTTCAAAAATGCGTTTTAAATCGCACGAGTTTCTGATGAATTATCTTATATTTGCATATATTATTGTCGAGAAACAATTTCTCGTTTCTCCGCACAATTTCTATCGTTGGATTTCCAACATGTTCGCACAGACCGATCGCACCATTTGCATTTTACGCTTGAAACGACGCGACAAAAGCACGGAAGTAGTGTCACATTACGGTTAATCTTAATAGCCGATCGAATAAATCGGGGTTTTAACACGTTTAATCTTATTCAGCTTAGATCGCAGCCTCTGATATCTCTCGTGATTGTTTGAAAGGCACTTATCCTAGGTGTAAAGCTACCGGAGATTGTGTACGAGGGTCCCTTTAAACGCTATCTGATAAACGAGTGTCTCGCGATCCAATAATTATGTCACGACGCTTGTATATATTTCGCGATTGTAGGTTTGTGCCGAAGATGGGATCGTTTATTTAAATAATTATTCGAGCATTCGAACGTTTTTCTTGTTTATTTAATAAATTAAATTATTTTAATACTTGATATCAGAATATATATCGAATATTAAAATATTTATTTTAATATTTAATATTTAATATTTGCTTCCCGGAGTATTCGCGATCGTTAATGGCTTCTGGAATATCGCCATTTGGCTGAAGAGAAAAAGAAGCGGCTTTATGAATTCAACTTCGCGGAATGTATAATCGGTGAATATGATTTATGTCAAGAACTTTTTTCCCCCCGGCTCTTTTTCCCGTCGGATGAATTTTCCTCCGTGGCTAATTATACAGTTTTGCGCCCTCGCGGCGGAGGTTGTATATAATTTCGCGAGTTTCTTCATTAAGGTGTATCCTTTTAGAAAGTTCGAAAAATTACCCGACGTTCTCGCGGATCGTGAAATCTCGATGCCGGGATAATCAGACCCTTTGACGCGCGTGAGACATAAACCATTCCCGCTTTCGAGAGATATTCGCGATATCGTAAATGCGAGAAAGCGACGCGAATAATCCCCGCGAGGATCCATTTTAATTGAAAGCGAGGAGAGAGCAAAGGTAGCCGGAGAACGAGGGAGGGAGGGAGGAGTGGAAGGATCGTCGCGCGCGTTCTCGACGATAATTTCGCGAGAGTTGCGAAATATGTGCGGTCCTCGTTGGATCCTCCAACGGCCAGAGAAACGGCCAGATTTTCCGTGGTGTACTGTCACCGTAATCCTGAAATTGGTGGCGGCGAACCGTCGCCGTGGCGGAATGAAATGACTCCACCAGCCCCTCTCTGCCTCTTAATTCTCGATAGATGGGATCCGGGGGCCTGTAAAACACGCGACGTGTCCCGAGAATCCCGTGCATTAAAATCGCGCGTGGTGTTCTGTAAAGCCACCGTGAAAAACGATTGCGATGCGAAAAATCAAGAAGAGAGAGAGAGAGAGAGAGCAACTTTTTTTTTTAATTAAAAATTAATTTCAACAAAGAATTAAATATTGTAAATATAAAAAATATTAGAAATTCAAATATCTTGGAAGAAATTGAAAGGCTTTGACCTAACGATTGTTAATTTTATTATTAACAATTAATTGTACATTCTCTCTTCTAAATATCATCAGTTTGTGAAGTTATCTCATGCTAATTGAAGATACTAAGATTAATGATTTAATAATGTATGACGTAATTAGAGTAAAGTATGTTTTAATTTGATTTAAATGACGAGGCAAAGAGGAGAATGGGATAATCGCTTTCTTCTTTCCCTTAATGGCTCTATTAATAAATCTGAGTTGGAAGATAAACGAGCCGAAGCGAGCTTAGCACAAGCAAATTTGGTCATTCGATGTCGTCCTGCAAGCATCCATATTCGAGTCACGATTTACAAGCTTAATATCGCTGCGTAATCTGTCTTATGAAGCGGCAAATGGTATATATATATGTATATTCGGAGTATATCCCAACAGAGAGTCGTAATAATCGTCTGTGGACGCAGCTTGGATTATCTTGAAATCAGATTAATGGAACTCGTGCGTATTATAATACTGGCTCATAGAATTTACGCAAATTCCATTTCTAACTTGCGGCTTTTTTTTCACAATATATTTTATTTCCACTCGAAATTACTTCGTCGAGAAGGGAGGGATCGAAAGGGATCAGGAAGGTAGAATTCCTTAAGAAAGCATATCCGTTTGAAATCTCGAAAAATCAATACATTTTCTAGATTTTTTTGCAGAGCAACAACTTGATAAAAATTTTTGATTTTTTTTTTGCGATATTAATACAATATTATTAACTATTCAAATAAAAATTTTCAGCTTAAAAAAAAAAAATTTTTTAAAGTTATGGAAATATTCGCTGAGCTCCTCCAAATTTTAGGTGATTACACAGTGTGCTTGAAAAAGTTCGTAGATCATATCCGAAATCAAAAATACAAGCTTTTTTTTATTAAACATATTAATAGCTATCTGCTATTCAAGCATTTTTTCAAAATTTTAAAAAATAATAAAACGGCGGCGTGTTGAAAAAAAGTTTCGTTCTTTTTGAAAAAAAATCCATCTTTTTTTGTTTATAAAAAAAAAAATGGAAAATCAGATTAAAAAAGGCTTAGCAGATGCGAATCTTATTAGGAGTTCGCATGCAAAATTTGAAGTCAATCCGTCGAATGTAATCCGAGTGTTCATGCATACCGTCTATGAAAACATAAATCTACGAATATTTGTATAACTTTAAAAAAAATTTTTTTTGAGCTGAAAATTTTTATTGAGGTACTTAATAATATTGTATTAAAATCGTAAAAAAAAAAAGTTTTTATCAAATTGTTGCGCTGCAAAAAAAATCTAAAAAATGTACTCATTTTTCAAAGGTTCAAACGAGTGTGCCCCCTTAATGGTAAAAATAAATGAACATTTTTATTGAAGTACTTAATAATATTGTATTAAAATCGTAAAAAAAAAAGTTTTTATCAAATTGTTGCGCTGCAAAAAAATCTAAAAAATGTACTCATTTTTCAAAGGTTCAAACGAGTGTGCCCCCTTAATGGTAAAAATAAAATAATACGTCAATTATAATATGTATATACTGAGAGAAATTTTAGTATCTAAAGATCCCGGATTTGTCACATCCGTCCTCTTTAATTCGCGATATATTAGTTTATGTTCCAAGTATCGCTTCTCCGTTTATACCCTATTCGAGTTTACGCTGACAACTTCGTACAACAATAATATCCAAGGTTTATACGGTAAATTGTGCGAGTTTCAATTATATTATTGTACTCATCAGACGAGATCAGCATTAGTCAAATTTTCCGAAGCTTAACTGCTATTAAGTTTTGTAATTTAACTTTTTAATTACTTGCAACTCGAAGACTACATCGATTCCATGTAAAAAGAAAGATGGAAGGAAAAGGAAGAGGATCGTTTATAATTTGCCTTTACTCATATAAAGCACTTTAGAGAGCAAACTTCGAAAAAAAAAAAATAAAAATAAAAATAAATTTTGATGTTGTGCCGACGTTCTTCGAGTGAGGCTTCACCTCAAAGTGGCGGTGATCGTTTCTCGTCGGAGAGAGCTCGTTACGGCAGATTCGTCTCCCGACGAAGTTGGCGAACTGCAGATACCATCCTTCCTGAACTTACTTACCGCTTCGGTAATTCGCGTAAATCGCTACTTCCGAGAAGGGGGAAGCTGCACTTTTATCTCTGGTAGCGCTAATAGCCTATGCTATTCCTGGAGAGGGTTAAAGAGGGAGAGAACGAGAGAGAGCTGTCTCTTTCTTTATTTTTGTCAGCGGTACACGAGATGAGGCGACGAGGAAAACTGGGTAGAACGGAAGCAACAAATAAGTCCGTCCTAGAGAGAGCGCGAATGAAACAGTCGGGACACGCGAACGGGAAATTAGCTTTGTTGCGGGGGTGGACGGGGAGGTTGGGGAGAAGGGGATGAACTTTAACTCACTTTATTCGCTATTATTCTCTCCCCCTGGTATATTCCACGCTGCGGCGGATTTTGCGGCGTTTCCCATCGCGAGACCTTTCCTTTACCTCGGTACGCTTCTTGCATATCGTATGAAAGCGCGAAAATAGATGAAATGTATGGTACGTGGCACATTTATATACCGTCATATTATATATCAACTTTCCTCAAAGAATTCGGGCGGTGATAATAAAGCGCTTGAATAAGGCCGTTCGCTCTGTGTAAAACGTTCTGTAAAATCTGTTAGATCCTGAGAAAAAATGGACTTTATGTGATTATACAAAATCATATATATAATGACATATAATAACATATGTAATTTTATACGATTATATTTATACGATTATATATGATAACATTTGTAATTTTATACGATTATATGAGACGTCCGATATGATCTTATCTTTATATACACTCAAAAAAATGTCTTGCTGATATAGGTAGATTTCTAGGTGTCACAACAAAAATTTATCGCTATTTTTTGTATCTGTTAGAATATTGTCTGTTACATATAGAATTTATAGCAGCACCATTCTAATAATATCTTCTAGAAAATTTAGGTCCCATTGCCAAATGTTAATCACTGCATTGGATAAATATGAGTTTCGATACTACAGCTAGAACGATCTTTGTGAGAAATATAACTGCCAATTATAACTGCAGCATCGAAAAATTGAGAGAAATTGTTTAAAAGAGCTAGATAGATTGGGCGCGTTATACAAATATGTTAGATGTGAGGATTATATATTCATTTGTTTCTTGCCGCTAATTTTTTCTGTGTACCACAGCCAAACTTTATAACAAGTATGATTGGCCTTAACATGGATAGGCGCCACAGAAAAACATTCTTTCTAAATTTCACAAACAGTTCAGATATAAATTCTGTCTCTGTCACTTAGATTGATTAAATGCGAAACATATGCGATATCACAGTATTTGCTAATCATTTATGTACCTCAGTTAATTTTGCGCACCCAGAAAATTTTTGCTGTAGTTGCAATACCACTTTTTTGAGTGTAATATTCTCGGTCAGATCTGTTTCGTATACAATAATCAGATCTAATCGAATGTGATTATATAAAGGTAAGATCATATATCAAATTTCAGATATTATCATATATGGCCAGATCATATCGCGTCAAATTTCAGATTTAATTACATATGGCCAGATCATATATCGCGCGAAATTTCGGATCTAATTATATACGATCTTATATAATTACACAAGTGTATTTTTTCTCGGGATGTTATCGCGAGTTACAAGACTTATCGTATTATAATACGTACAAGGTGTTCCATCTTCATTAGCATCGATTTTCTCTCAAAGGAAATATAATGAATTCATAAGTTGCATAAAAGCAATTGAAAATTCAGATTTCTAGACTATTTTTACATACGGAGTATTTTTACTTATTTTGATTTATGAGTTAAACGTCTCGTCGTTTCTACACGACGTGACTTTTCTTCATTAGCCACGCACGTGTGCCGTTGTGTTGATGTCTAGTAAAAAAGTTGTCACGTATTTTGAAACGCGCCGGTAAAACTAGCGTGCTTCATTTCGCGTTGCACGTTAGCCGAGTTAAAATATTCCAAGCTGATGGTATCGCGCTATCTTCCAGCTTTTTCCGGCAGAAAACGTGTGTACCTTGTGTATATACATATATGTATTTGCATGCCGCTTTTTTAAGCAATTCACGGGCGGGTTTCATATAATCTCAAAGGTCATGTTTACCGAACGATACTGTAATAACGTTTAGTGTTTGCAACATGAGCAAAAAAAAAAAAAAAATGGAATTTATATAAGCGAGATTTATAAGCGCTTTACAAACATGTAAGGAATATATCCGACGTATATTACGAGATATTAAACACAAAGAACATTCAAACAAGAATCGTTTTATCTACATATTTGCTTTGCATAGTTTCTTTTCTTCGTAGATTTTTTTTTTTTTATGGCAACTCTCGCAACACGCGATTATAACATATTAAAATCTTTTCGGCGTGTTAAAATTCTTGTAAGTATACTAATCGAATATCGCGATAAAGTAAAAAGATGAACATTTTATTTAAAATTATTAGCGCGCGCGTATTTTTATTTAAAAATATTTGGATAAAGTTCCGAATAGGTGAACCCTCCGATTTTTTTGAAACTACACTATTTTTTGTCCTCAGGATCATGGATATATCTTGATTGCTTTTTATCCTGCTTTTCACTGACTTTTAAATAAACTAGTTGCTAAACAGAAAAAAATATCGTGGAAACCACGCTTTTCTCCATAAATAAATACATTTTGTTTATATGACACAAAATCAGTTCTTTGAGAGGTATGAATAGTGAGCATGCTTTCGAATACACATCCCGTTTATCTATGTGTATAACAAACGTATATATTTTGAATATAAACTTTAGGGCGCACAATGTGTTGCGGAAACAGCTGGCAGCACATAAATAAAGCATTCGGAGGGAAATACTCTTAAATAACGTATAACACAAAATACGGCATCGAGAAATCCCAATTATTTTGTTAAGAAATTTAAAAAACGAAATTATCTATGATTTTTTAATTATATATAACTTTATATTTGTTAAATTAAAAAAAGAATTTAAAAAACAAGAACTTAAGGATTTTTAAATTCCCAAATTCGAATATATATATTAAAAAATTTAATAATCGAAGAATCGGAAAGAGTTCCGAGAATTTGCAGGGAAAACTAATACTCCAAGAAAATCTACGCTCCTATTCAAAGAGACGGAAGGGTATATAAAAAGTATCCCATAATTTATCGTCACAGTTCAGAGAATTTCGGATAAAAAGAAGTCTCTTCCGCTCGCTGGTTTCACCGACACTTATTTTATTTACTAGCGCGTTCCTGGTGGCATCCGGCTGTACATACATGCGCTATCGGCTCGAACGATGCCAGCGGTGCGTGATTTAATAAGCAAAATGATTTGTTGCAGGTGGTGCGGGCGGCCAGTCCGGTTTTGTTGCGCGTGATCGTCCTGGGCGCCTTCTTCATATACTGTACGGTGAGTACTCGAGAGAGAGAGAGAGAGAGAGAGAGAGAGACAGACGCGATAACGTATACGTGTCTCGTCGCCGTCGCATGCGTTTCCCCGGTCGCATTTCATATTCATGAGGGTCGACGGCGCCGCGTCGCACCGCGCACCGCACCTTTGAGAGAGAGAGAGAGAGAGAATCCCGATAACAAAGCTTTCTCACGTGCGCGCGCGGAGATGCCGCCGCAGTATCCGACGACCCTCGCCGGTTGTAACCGCATCTGTTGCGACTACTACCCTTAATATATGCGCGCGCGCCCCGTGCGCCAATTACGATAACGCATGATTCCCCATATCGGGGCGCGACTATGTGTATTCACCAATTATTGATGACCTCTATGTTTCGCTAATTAAAGCGGATATACCGGATAAAATCATCTATTAATGTACGAAGACAGTTGTTCCCCGATCGATGTGGAACCGGTTGCAGATTCTTCGCGAGAGTCTCGTAAAATTCGCTTTGCGATCATTATTATGATTTTTTAAATGGATTTTTTCATATCCACGACTGTGTATTAAACACATTTCAAATATAAATTTTTCTTATACAATAATAATTAAAAAGGTTTCTTGGATATATTTTTTCTCGATTTAATATTCTGAGAAGAATTTTAGAACAAGAAATAATGGGGATATTTTTACCTGTTACAAAATTATTATATTATTTTGTTATATTTTTGCGATTAAATCGTTAATTAGAGTTTCCCTTTTGGAGCGACTCGAAAACGGCATACCTTGAATTTTCACGTCAGCAAACGTAGGAGGAGCTTATTACTACTCGCGATTGTTACGCTTATTACGCTGTATTATTACCAGACGAGACATGTTTCCGCAATTGTGGTGGGAAGCTGTCTACTGCATAGATCACGTAGGACAAAATAATTCAAGATATCACATTTAGGTTATTCTGGGTTTTGACCCGCCGTGACAGCTGCTGTAACACACGTATTCCGCTCACGTTCTTACGTGATATATCGGCTTGATAGCGGAATTTCTATCACATTTCACAAACCTGCTTTATCGAATCCGGGACGATTTCGTAGACGACAAGTCATTTGTATAAACGTAAATTCCAGGAATTTTCCTCACGTACGCGCACGTTCGCGTTCTCTTTGCTCTTAGATGACAACAAGATCTATAGAAGATATTTATTCTAGAAAAGGTGCGAGAAGTTGCGAGAAATATTTAATTAATGATTTTCAATTTACGCGCAAAGATGTTTAATTTAATTTCATTTCATAATATATCCTATATATACATGTATAGTGAACAAATATGTCATTATCCGGGGAATATTTTAAATCAAAATATGAAATTTAAAGTAATCGTTGCAGCAAATTGGATAAAAGCGAGAAATCACGTTTGGGAGAAGGAAAGAATCGGTCCTTGCAATATAAATAGTAAAATAAATGAATATTTTTACTATGTGTATTAAATAGGTATCAAATATAAGTTTTTCGTATACAATAATAATTAAGAAGGTTTCTTGGATATATTATTTTATTTAATATTCTGAGGAAAATTTTAGAACAAGAAATAATCGGAATATTTTTATTTTTATGTTACAAAATTATTATATTATTGTGTTATTAATTATGCGCAAATTAATCGTATAAAATAATAATTTATCAATTATGTGCATTGAATATATATTGTAAACTTAATACATAGCTTATATTATTTTTATTATCTCCTTTTTATCACTAGACATCTGTTAAATAATAAATATAATAGTAGTCATTTAATAAGAGTTTAAACACTCAGCATTTACGAGAGATGTTTGTATAGCAAGATACTTTACTCGGTAAAGTTTATCAAGCACACATAAGACTGCACAATTCGCGAAGAAAGTTTGGCTTAAGTTTGGCCAACAAGTCTAGTAAATTCTGCAATTTTATGCTTTAAACTAACAGAAATTAAACCAGATAAATTATCATACTCAATTATAATGAGAAGAATGGAACGTGACAGTAGAAATTTGTCAAATACGACGCTATATTTTTTCAAGATTTATATTCGCGAACGTTTAGATTTTCCCCAATACCTAAATCCCCTATCGTTATATTCTCGAGTACACGGACGTCACGTTTAAGAGCCATCCGTAATGTGACCTATTCCGTCAGAATGGCAAGGTAATTTTTCTCTCGCTGAAGTAATAGCTCGTCCGTGAGCAAGGGTTAGTATCAATGTGCGGTTCAGACATTTCGAATGCTTTAACTTGGGAGCCCGTCCGGATAAGGAGGATACGTGCCTACGTAATGTTTGCTCTTACGAGGTACGAACTCCCAGATGGCTTCGCTTAAACTCCGTAGCGCTATTCTTAATGGGACGTCATTTGCCCGCTTATGAAGGTACGCTTTCCATTTCTCGTAAAGCTTCGATGTTATATCTTGCCGTCGTGTAAATCGTATGATACAGCTTGGAAAATCCAAAGAGACCGCCATCGTGTTTCGCGGTGCATCCGAGTCGCTTGCCATTTCTCTTTTATCCGCCCTTTCCTTTCTCGGAATATTTTATTAAGAGGATTGTTTCACGACTTTGTAATATTTCACGAATCTCAGCGTCAGCTCAATTCTTGAATGTAGAAGCAAGAATTGTCTCCGGAGCAATTACCTCGCGTGTGAGAAAAAATTTACATTTATATTTTCGAGAATAATTCGATATAGTTGATAGAGATGGGATTCTCTGTGACTCTTTTCTAAAAAAATCTAAAGAGACGAAGAGAGAGAGAGAGAGAGAGAGAGAGAGAGAGAGCGCGATAAAATTCTCGCAATTCATATTTGAAGCGATAAAAGTAAAACTGGAGAAGTTATTATCAAATGTTGTAAAATGAGAACATAAAATTAGCACCTCATATCTCCGGATCTTTATTTTTTACTTTATCGCCGCAATTCTTTTTAAACCATATCAGAAATCGATACTCTATGTATAAAAGTATTAAAAGTCTAGTTTAGTTGAAAAGTGAATATTTTACGATTTTTCATATTTTATACATCAGAATACACATCGGGAGATAAAATATGAAATACATTATAAAATTCTCAATTTTAAGCGATCTCGTATTTTAATATTTTTTACAATAAATAACAAGCAAAATTTTTTCCTTAATATAAATTAATTCCTATTTTTTATTTATATATAAACCAAGAAAATCTACGCTCCTATTCAAAGAGACGGAAGGGTATATAAAAAGTATCCCATAATTTATCGTCACAGTTCAGAGAATTTCGGATAAAAAGAAGTCTCTTCCGCTCGCTGGTTTCACCGACACTTATTTTATTTACTAGCGCGTTCCTGGTGGCATCCGGCTGTACATACATGCGCTATCGGCTCGAACGATGCCAGCGGTGCGTGATTTAATAAGCAAAATGATTTGTTGCAGGTGGTGCGGGCGGCCAGTCCGGTTTTGTTGCGCGTGATCGTCCTGGGCGCCTTCTTCATATACTGTACGGTGAGTACTCGAGAGAGAGAGAGAGAGAGAGAGAGAGAGACAGATCTGGGTACGTATACGTGTCTCGTCGCCGTCGCATGCGTTTCCCCGGTCGCATTTCATATTCATGAGGGTCGACGGCGCCGCGTCGCACCGCGCACCGCACCTTTGAGAGAGAGAGAGAGAGAGAATCCCGATAACAAAGCTTTCTCACGTGCGCGCGCGGAGATGCCGCCGCAGCATCCGACGACCCTCGCCGGTTGTAACCGCATCTGTTGCGACTACTACCCTTAATATATGCGCGCGCGCCCCGTGCGCCAATTACGATAACGCATGATTCCCCATATCGGGGCGCGACTATGTGTATTCACCAATTATTGATGACCTCTATGTTTCGCTAATTAAAGCGGATATACCGGATAAAATCATCTATTAATGTACGAAGACAGTTGTTCCCCGATCGATGTGGAACCGGTTGCAGATTCTTCGCGAGAATCTCGTAAAATTCGCTTTGCGATCATTATTATGATTTTTTAAATGGATTTTTTCATATCCACGACTGTGTATTAAACACATTTCAAATATAAATTTTTCTTATACAATAATAATTAAAAAGGTTTCTTGGATATATTTTTTCTCGATTTAATATTCTGAGAAGAATTTTAGAACAAGAAATAATGGGGATATTTTTACCTGTTACAAAATTATTATATTATTTTGTTATATTTTTGCGATTAAATCGTTAATTAGAGTTTCCCTTTTGGAGCGACTCGAAAACGGCATACCTTGAATTTTCACGTCAGCAAACGTAGGAGGAGCTTATTACTACTCGCGATTGTTACGCTTATTACGCTGTATTATTACCAGACGAGACATGTTTCCGCAATTGTGGTGGGAAGCTGTCTACTGCATAGATCACGTAGGACAAAATAATTCAAGATATCACATTTAGGTTATTCTGGGTTTTGACCCGCCGTGACAGCTGCTGTAACACACGTATTCCGCTCACGTTCTTACGTGATATATCGGCTTGATAGCGGAATTTCTATCACATTTCACAAACCTGCTTTATCGAATCCGGGACGATTTCGTAGACGACAAGTCATTTGTATAAACGTAAATTCCAGGAATTTTCCTCACGTACGCGCACGTTCGCGTTCTCTTTGCTCTTAGATGACAACAAGATCTATAGAAGATATTTATTCTAGAAAAGGTGCGAGAAGTTGCGAGAAATATTTAATTAATGATTTTCAATTTACGCGCAAAGATGTTTAATTTAATTTCATTTCATAATATATCCTATATATACATGTATAGTGAACAAATATGTCATTATCCGGGGAATATTTTAAATCAAAATATGAAATTTAAAGTAATCGTTGCAGCAAATTGGATAAAAGCGAGAAATCACGTTTGGGAGAAGGAAAGAATCGGTCCTTGCAATATAAATAGTAAAATAAATGAATATTTTTACTATGTGTATTAAATAGGTATCAAATATAAGTTTTTCGTATACAATAATAATTAAGAAGGTTTCTTGGATATATTATTTTATTTAATATTCTGAGGAAAATTTTAGAACAAGAAATAATCGGAATATTTTTATTTTTATGTTACAAAATTATTATATTATTGTGTTATTAATTATGCGCAAATTAATCGTATAAAATAATAATTTATCAATTATGTGCATTGAATATATATTGTAAACTTAATACATAGCTTATATTATTTTTATTATCTCCTTTTTATCACTAGACATCTGTTAAATAATAAATATAATAGTAGTCATTTAATAAGAGTTTAAACACTCAGCATTTACGAGAGATGTTTGTATAGCAAGATACTTTACTCGGTAAAGTTTATCAAGCACACATAAGACTGCACAATTCGCGAAGAAAGTTTGGCTTAAGTTTGGCCAACAAGTCTAGTAAATTCTGCAATTTTATGCTTTAAACTAACAGAAATTAAACCAGATAAATTATCATACTCAATTATAATGAGAAGAATGGAACGTGACAGTAGAAATTTGTCAAATACGACGCTATATTTTTTCAAGATTTATATTCGCGAACGTTTAGATTTTCCCCAATACCTAAATCCCCTATCGTTATATTCTCGAGTACACGGACGTCACGTTTAAGAGCCATCCGTAATGTGACCTATTCCGTCAGAATGGCAAGGTAATTTTTCTCTCGCTGAAGTAATAGCTCGTCCGTGAGCAAGGGTTAGTATCAATGTGCGGTTCAGACATTTCGAATGCTTTAACTTGGGAGCCCGTCCGGATAAGGAGGATACGTGCCTACGTAATGTTTGCTCTTACGAGGTACGAACTCCCAGATGGCTTCGCTTAAACTCCGTAGCGCTATTCTTAATGGGACGTCATTTGCCCGCTTATGAAGGTACGCTTTCCATTTCTCGTAAAGCTTCGATGTTATATCTTGCCGTCGTGTAAATCGTATGATACAGCTTGGAAAATCCAAAGAGACCGCCATCGTGTTTCGCGGTGCATCCGAGTCGCTTGCCATTTCTCTTTTATCCGCCCTTTCCTTTCTCGGAATATTTTATTAAGAGGATTGTTTCACGACTTTGTAATATTTCACGAATCTCAGCGTCAGCTCAATTCTTGAATGTAGAAGCAAGAATTGTCTCCGGAGCAATTACCTCGCGTGTGAGAAAAAATTTACATTTATATTTTCGAGAATAATTCGATATAGTTGATAGAGATGGGATTCTCTGTGACTCTTTTCTAAAAAAATCTAAAGAGACGAAGAGAGAGAGAGAGAGAGAGAGCGCGATAAAATTCTCGCAATTCATATTTGAAGCGATAAAAGTAAAACTGGAGAAGTTATTATCAAATGTTGTAAAATGAGAACATAAAATTAGCACCTCATATCTCCGGATCTTTATTTTTTACTTTATCGCCGCAATTCTTTTTAAACCATATCAGAAATCGATACTCTATGTATAAAAGTATTAAAAGTCTAGTTTAGTTGAAAAGTGAATATTTTACGATTTTTCATATTTTATACATCAGAATACACATCGGGAGATAAAATATGAAATACATTATAAAATTCTCAATTTTAAGCGATCTCGTATTTTAATATTTTTTACAATAAATAACAAGCAAAATTTTTTCCTTAATATAAATTAATTCCTATTTTTTAATTTTTTTTTTCTGTAAAATTATTAATCTCTGAGAATTATAATTTGTCTATGTAAGTCTGTGCATGTATGCTAAAGTCTGAAATTTTTACACGATGGCCTCATGTCAGAGCTTCATGTTTGCACAAGAGAAAAATCGCTGTAAAGTGCTCGTTCAGCGAAAATTTTGTTGTTCCTTTTTTAACTCTATCTCAACTTTTCATAGCGGACTTCTTTCATATTACTCACATTATTTTTACGACAGGTTTTCATAACAATGATAAAAACGGTCTTTCCTATATAAGTATCTTAATATAATTTTAATTGAACAGCAGTATATAACGAAAAGAAAAATAATAACTGTGTTTTCTCATCGTTATTTTCCATTCTCCAGTTTGGAGAACAGCTTGGCAAATAATGAATTGACATTTTTAGAAAATTCTCAAGCATAAAACAAACATTTAAAAATTCATTTGTGAGGATGTATAAGATAGAATTTTAATAAACATTATGCGATTTTTACTTTTATATTGTGCTATGCGTATATTTGTATGCATTTCATACTATATATTAAATATAAATTCTGTTAAATTCGAGAATTAGATATTCAAGCATTCATTAATGATAAATTTGGTCTCATCATGAATATCTCTCTATTTTGCATAAATAACACAGGCAAGAACTCGATAGAAAATCATTGAGCATTTTCGACGCAATTTCGAAATTTCATGTATCCAAAACGCGTGTGAGGCTTTAAATATCTAATCTTAATTAAGTAATTATATGATGTATATTGCGGGGCCGAATATAAATTCGCGTCGAGGCAGACTTATCGAAATGGCGTTATTAAAATTTATTATTACGGCTAATAGGAACGAAATTATGGATGAATAGACGGAAATGGATGCGCGTAGCGCAATCGCCGGTGATGTTTTGTCAACAACATTATTTTGCAGGACACGCATTCTGCTTATGTTGCAGACCATAGTTATGTACCCCAGGCCAAACATCATCACGTGCACTGTTCGCGTATGGTTGCGAGAAATTGGCTTTTCTCTCACATACGGGGCACTCATGCTCAAAACGTGGCGGTAAGTGGTATTTTACTCACTCGAATGGCATTATTTCGATCGTTTTACGTGACTGCATCATCGTCTTTATTTATCTTTAGCCCGAGTAAATAAATATCGTTCTTCTTTTTTCGCCGATATTGTCGCTCATCAAATTTACATATATTTCATATATCTCTCGCATATTTATTTATTTAACTCGACGTGTTTTTTTTTTTTTTTTAATATCATTTTTTTATTTCTACATTTTTGACATTTTGAAAGGTTTTCTCTCATTTACAGAGATACAGTGCTTTAACCACGGCAGTAAGTGCGTCTTTACTTTATATTATTTCCATTATATCTTTCACAGAGTTTCTCTCTTTAGTCGAATTTCAACCTTGCAATTAAATTAACGATTTTAATTATTAATCAATTTTATTAATTATTTTATATTCTTGACATGTATATATTTGATCGCTTTTTAATACATATAATTCTTCACCATATATATATTTCAAGATCAGCAGCATCATAGTGTACATATAGATGTAACTTTTCGCAAATAATTTGAAACAGCTTATTAATCTATGAAGAAATATAAAAACGCTATGGGAAAATTAAAAAAAAAAAAAGAAGCGGAAGATTTGTGATGTTCTGGTCGCAGGATATCCGTGATCTTCCGAGTGAAGTCGGCGAAGGCCGTGAAAATAACGGACGCGAGTCTGCTGAAGCGTCTCGGCATCATCGTCCTGACGTTCAGCGTGTTCCTGAGCATAAGGACACTGGTCGCGCCGCCCGTCGTCATCGTCGGCCGGACCGCCGACGATCTCAAGGCGTATCTCTGCCGGACTGACTGGTGGGACCACAGTTTCACTACTCGTGAGTTTCATGAGCGACGGCAGTATACGTATAATAATATCGCCGGCATGTAATACATGTCGTATACGCGCAAAAAGAGACATTGATCGGCTTAATCCCCTTAGCCGCACGCTCTGTGTCTCGCGCATCTCCGTATAATCTGTATATCGTTCCAGTGATATACGAGCGCGATATAGCCAGCCACACGGCGCGCATAATGCGGGAAGGCACGGATTAACTTTGCCTCTCACGGTATATGATCGATTCCCGCGTGCAAGACGTATGGGAACGCGCGATCGAAGGCTGGGGGAGAAATTTGATGAATTAAGCCTCGAGCTTTTGCCTTCCGGGAGTCAGTGTTATTTTGACGAAGAGGGGCTTCTTATTTGCCTTATAATGTTCAATGCGGAAAGTTAAGAGGCCACGAAGATGGATGGCCCGCGAAATAAATCGGCAGACTCACCCCGAATTTGCTTCGAGGTGAATCTTGCTCGGTTAGTGGGGAGGGTGGTTTTTTTTTTTTTTTTTTTTTTTGGGGGGGGGGGGAAAAAAAAAAAAAAGCTTGCCGGTGAATTGCAAACTGTCGTTAAGCGGTATCGGCTATTTGCATTTCCGTTGCTCGTATTCGCGTGTATGTTCGTTACGCAATATGCGATACTTGAAAAAAGATCGCTTTCAATCACCGGAACGCCGAGAGAAGAGAGCGCGCTATAAAATGTAAATAACCAATTAAACGGCGAAGCTGCATTTAAATGATGTCGAGGTATGCAAAGCTGCCGAGGAGCCAGCTTAGGGATTTTACTCGTCTTTAAATTATTTTCCGTACCAATTCTCCGTCTCCTCCGGTAATCGCAAGCTGGCTGCAGTGCATGAATAAATAAGACGCTCTCGGTAGTGCTTAGCGAGGAAAGGAAGAAAACTGTGTCTTCAAAGAAAAGTTACCTCGTCGGTCACGGTACGACAAGGACAACGTACGAATCCGCTGTGTATGTTAAAATCGAGTCAAATCCGTTTATAGACTTTTCCTTTCGAATCTCGATTGTTCTTATGTAAAATAAAATAAAAATAAAATAAAATAAAAAATTTAATTATCTAATAATATTTTTTAACCGATTAGTTACGCGCCTGTTCTCTTCGCTAAGCTTACGGCTCGGTATAATTCTTTAACGTGGAAAACCATTCTCTCATTCATTCCCGAAACATCGTATTTCTCTCTTTTTTTTTTTTCGCTACCGTCCTGCGCGTCTACTTAAACGCAAAGAACCTTCCGCCGCGACGCGGGCTTGATTTCAATTAAGCACGCTAACTCCACCGAGACACCCTTTCTTCCAGCTGTCGCGTCGCCGATGCTTGCATTCAGCGTGCTGAAAGAAGTCTACTTGTGGCGACGTCGTCGGCACAGAAATGTTACCACGCTTATTTCGCCCGTTGATGAGAAACGCACGGCGCGATGTTGCGAGTAACGAAGTAATGAAATAACATTGGAACATAATGTCGTAATATCAGAAATATCATAATTCTCTGAAGGATATTAATAAATGAGCAACAAAATGCGCGATTCTAAATTGTAAATTACAAGTCTAAACTATATGAGCGCGTAACAGACACGTATCTCATCGAGTACATTGCTAAATTTCGGGTTGACATCAACAGATCAGCCTCCGCCACGGCTCCATTCCCGCAACGTAACATCGTTAATCAAGTGGATACCAACGCCAACCTCTGGCGGAAGCTTCGCGGTCCAACCATGCGTACAAACGCGTTCTACGTAGACACGTACAAACGCATACATATCTATCACAGAACTGTAAAGACGGAGAGAGATGTCTCTTCAGACAGAAAGATCTCGTGTTGTTCCAAGGATGATGCCGATATTATCTCGAGGCCCGTCGAAAGACTCGAGCGACATATGTAGGTATCGCGGGCTTCAGTCCGCTGGAAAAATATTTATTCGACCGCATCGCGGAAAAAGAGATTTCTCTCTTATATTCTGCGACGAACATGCGTACGGCCCGTGTTCTCCCTGGGTGGATGTGAATCGTTTCTTTTGAAATTCTCCGGTAACGAAAAGTTTCGATCCGCTTGAAGCAACGAGCAAATACGGACTCGCAAGTCCAGGAGAAATACTGAAAAGAGAGAAACGTACAACCTTGACGTCGTCTCTGGTTTCGTGTCTTTTTTTTACAAAGGATTTGTGCAACTAATATTGCGGAAAAGAATATATTCACGAACCCATGTATATATGCATTCTGACGTCTCGTGCGTGGTTGCACACACGTGTGTCATCAGTTGCATATCCATACGTAAACGTATAATTCTGATGTTATAGGCGCCGAACTATTTTGGCTCGAAACGTGTTTAAAGAAAACATATACCGTGTTATTTACTGCATTTTTTTAGGGTGAGAGGAGAAAAAGAAACAGATACCTCTCTGGGACACGCCGTAAATGAGGCGTGAAAGTGGACATTCATCTCACTGTGTACCCTCACCGTGTCCATAAGTTCCCGTATTATACGCGGCAGGCAACCCGCATTAGTCCGCATTATCCCATTCCCGCTATCAGTCTCCGTGCCTCGCGTAGATATCTGCATATAGTGAAATATATTTACCGAATCTACTGTTATATACAGGGTGGGGAAAAAGTCCCGGACCCTTGAAATATCTTGGAAGGAGTGAAAAAAAAACAAATAATTGTTTTAAAAAATACATTGTAAATAATTACATACTTTTTCTTAAAAACAATTTTTTTTTTTTTTTTTTACACTAATTGATTTGTCTCATTATTCTGCACATAAAAATATTACGGCAAGATTATCGAAAACTAAATATTTTATAAGATATTTTATTTTTTATATCAAAATATGTCAGATTAAAATATAAAATAACTCAAAAAGTACTTAATAAAAAAATACTTTATTATAGTGTTTTGAAAAGCTCTCGAGATAAGCTACAAGAATATGCAATAAAAAATAGGGGGTTCCATTTAAGAAAATATCGATCACATTGAGTTGGCCTTGAAAAGGTCACTCAAGGTCAA